ATAAGCCCTCTAGTCCCAAACTCTTTTCTTCTGCTCATAGGCCTTCTGCTCATGAGCCTCATTGATCTTCTTTCGTAAATAGGGCTTTATAAGTAATAATAAATTATTAACAGCTGGTCAGTCACTGGTCAGTCACCAGTCATCATGACCTGTCAAGATAGTTTTATCTCAGTCGTACATGGTTTCTGGCTCAACATTACCAGTCAAAATGACTGGTGAGGCAAAATATCTGGACATTGTCTGATGACTGATTGTCATTTTAATCCCTGATTCTATGAAAAACCCTCATTTATAAGTATAAGCCAAGGTCTTGTAGTCAGGATTTTTCAATATATATATTTTTATAACATGTACTGTGATTTTTAATTTCTAGATTTACATTCACAATGAAGCCACTGTCCAGGACACTAGACATGATATTGTAGATGGATTTCTTTGTGTTGCAGAAAAGATTGAAGATAAGGTACTGTATGCTTGATTTAAACCAAAATGAGTCCGTTCTATGGGTCACAGAGCCAATATTTATAGACCAATTACATGAAAGGAAATGCAACATGCAACAAAACCTTCACCAACATTTTTTGAAATGTCTATGTCTTATATTTTTCTGGTCCGCTATCCTAAAATAGTGCATTCTGATTGGCAGTGGGACTGGCAGTATTTTCTATCTCTAGCCAGCAATCTGATATCCTGACAGTCATACACACTCACACATGGGAAATCGGATTGTTAAGAAACAAAACACATTTCAAAACAAGTGGTAAAATAAATGGGGGAAAAAAGATAAGTTATTTACCAGCCTATGGTTGGTATGGATAGGGAAAAACTGTGCCCTCTGGCATTGGGAGAAAATATAATTATCCCATATTGGCCTTCATTGCTTTGCAACTACAGCCCAACTATGGCCAATACAAGATATTATTTTTTCTGTCAGCAAGCCGAAATATAAAACGACATTGGTGGCTCAAAATCACAATAACTTATAATACTGCTTTCAAAATTTCTTTTTCATCAGAATATTAATGATATGTGGCAATTCATGGAGAGTCTACAACCACTACAGAATACATCAGGACCATCACCACACAAACTGAGGTGGGTTCAAGAATCAGAGATTTCTTCATCASTTTAGTTTGTTCAGTTAGTTTGTTCAATTATGCTGACATGTTATTGAAATTTAAATTACACCTCAGGTGTTCTCCTGACTTTCAAGTGAAGTTTTTGGAAAAAGCWAGAAGTTTCTTAGAGTCAAGGTACAAAACTAACCACATGCATTGAATAATTTTATTAAAGATTATGCTTATTTTTTTGTCTCACGATAGTGCTGTGATTGGCTGTGGGCGGTGGTATGACAGGGTGCTTTTATTCGATAGGGACTGCAGAATTGAGTTTGAAGAGTGGATACCAACCATTCAAAAGCACTTCGTCATGCACACCACCCAAATATCAACCAATCAGTGGTCAGCTGCTACAATGGCACACCCTCACAGATATCTAATGTCATTGGTCATGAATTGCATTTAAAATCTCTCACAATATTGTATTTCAGATACCTGCAGTATGTCCAGGAAACTGTCTATGACAACCTGCAACAGTCACGSCTGGGAGGTGTACCTGGTACATTCAACCTTATCAAAAGCTTCCTCAAGGTGAAGCTGTCCCATAGCTTCCAAGGACTAGAGGTACAAAATTCAGAGTAATTATTTAACCTTTTGGGTCATGTACTGTGGAATAAGAGAATAATTGAACTTATTGTTTCTAGAATTATATCTATTGTCTGTTGTTTTAGGATGGAGATATTGATGGTACTCCCATCTGGCCATTAATTTACTATTGYATAAGATGTGGAGATCCACAGGCTGCTCTGCAAGCTATGGACTACATACCGTAAGYCAGTCATTTCTTATCATCATAGTCTTATAGACCACATTTATAATTATATGATTATCATATACTTTTAGTTTATAATTATTTTCATATTGATTCTCCACGGGTGATTTACCACAAGGGGCAATTAATGTTCTTTTGTAAAGTAACACCTGCCTTTGGCAAATCTTCAAATGAATAAATGCATTTCATGAAATGCAGGGGGGCTGTCAAAATAACCACTGCAAAATGATACTTGGGTTCCCAAATTAAAAAGTCATCCCAAAAGGCTGCAGTAATGCACTGGTTATTTATATATTAAAAATACTGTTTTTCAGGCAACATTTAGGCGAATTTAGGGAATTCTTCAGAGAATATATCAACAGCAAAATAAGAAGGTAACAATAACATCAGTACTGCTACACTTAGTGAACACACTTACATTCAATACTTTAAAAACCCTAATCATAGGGTGGTGATGATGATGAGTGATGATGATGATGATGATATTGATAATTACTGGAGCAATGTTATTTAGGATGTCAGTTTGTTACAGCACTTTCCACCTGTTTTTCACAGACTAAGTCCAAGTACTGAAAGTAAGGTCCGTCTTCAATACAAGCGTTCAGTTCGTACCAGCCAGGATCCATTCAAAAGGTACAGTTATAAKATGCAATGAGATGTTATTGATAGAGGTTTTGCGACGAAGAAGATTTTGGTGGACATCGATTACATGGYGTTTCCACAACAAAGCTATAAGTGCTTATAGAATGTCATGAAAACACCTTGATTGACMAAAGGCTTCTTCGTTGCTCCAGAAACAATCGCTAGAGCGGCATATGTGATTTAGAATGGCTGTAATAGTGTCCAGTATTTTTGTACACCTCCCAAAACAAGAGAATAAATGAAAATATTCCTAGGTGTAGATATGAAGGTAACTTTCTTTATCAGTCTTAGTGAAGATTGGMTACCAATCATTCCTCCATGAGGGGGTGTTGAAATTTTCTAAAACTCAACAGTGCTTAGTTGATCATTGGTTAGGCCAAAAAAAA